ATTCCTGCATAATTAAGCCAGCTCTACTAGTTGTGTTCATGTGATCCTGCAGTGGTAGTTTGAAAAGAAATGCAGTTATCTCATGTCTTCATTTCTGTGTTTAAACATACAATCAAAGAATTAAAATTAGTTATTTTTCCAAGTTATATTTAAGCTTTCATCCCGGACTCTAATGCAGGATGGTGGAGTAGAACAACGGCAGTGCTAAACAAGCAGCTGTTGGCATATCCTGAAGCTGAGCAAGTGAAGCCTGCTTTTAATATCCTTAACAAGATGCCTTGTTTCTAAAGGGATACTCTCATCTGTAACTGCTTTCTTTCCTTCTTGCCCAGGTCAATAACATTAACCAGCCTTTAGAAATAACAGCCATTTCCTCTCCCGAAAACTCCCTGAAGAACTCTCCTGTTCCTTACCAGGACAATGACCAGCCTCCGGTACTGAAAAAGGAAAAGCCCCTCGTTCAGACCAACGGCGTTCATTACTCTCCTCTAACATCAGATGAAGAGCAGGGATCTGAAGACGAGCACAATAGCAGCAGGTGAATACACAGGCGTAGGTTTCAGGATGAGATTTCTCTGCGGGCTGATATCGGTACTCTGAGCCGGAGAGGTGCGGTGAGCCCTCTTTGTTCCCTTTGCTCGGAGACCGATTCCATTATGCCGAGGCTCTTACGCAGCTGAAGTTGCGAACAGGGAAGGTACTTAGGCAGCAGTACTTGAATGTGGGAACCCACTCTTGCTGTGTTTGCAAGGCTGGCAGAGTCTGGCCTCTGAAAGAACTAATGTAGGAATTATTTCTTTTTACCACGTTGCTTTGTAGGAGTACTGAGGCTATGTGTAATCTTTAACTAAGAATCTGCCTCCTCCTCACTCCCAGTTTCAGCTTGATTCAAAATTCTCCACTTCCTGCCCCAAACTGTTGATGTGTTAAAAATTGAGTACTTGCCAGCTTTTGCCTGGCTGTGGGGTGCAATTTTTTTTCATGTTTAAGGTGCTGGAAAAGTAACTGCTGTAGAAATGTGAGCAACTTCTTGTTGTGAAAGAAGAGCAGCAATGAAGTCCTCTGAACGTGCACTAATCTTGGCAAAGAGCAGAAATACTGTAATAGCTTCTACTTAAAGTTTGTGGTGGATTTTTTTTAATGCTTTTAAGTTCCTTTAGTAACATACAGCTTTCTAGCTGAGTTGGCTTTACATACTCCAGCCTACTGTTAAGATGTGAACATGTGGAAGATGGGTTATGAGGGTAAATGTGCAACAAAAAAAATCTGCAACGAGTCCTATAACCTTTTTGTTTTCCCACTAGAATTGAAAGGAAAATTGCAACAATATCGTTGGAAAGCAAATCTCCACAGAAGACTGTTGAAAATGGTAGGTGTGAGGAATGGTCGTTAGTTGTTGTAATGGTTGGTCTTGGGAACAGGCGCCTGCCCCCGGTCAGAGGCAGGCTTCTCTGTGCTTCTCTACTGCTGAGCAGAGTGCCGTTCTGCCAGGGCTTGGCATCATCGCAGTTAAGACAGGCGGCTGGTAATTACAGATTTTGGGTCAGTTCTTTCTGTAGTCACAGGTCTCCAAAGATCTGACCAGTTTTTTCGCTGACTCAGGGGTTGGGGAGGTATCTGTAGTACAAAGACTGAGGAAAAGGTAGATCAGCATTCTCAAACTTTTTCAGAGAATTAAACTGAATTTTAAGGACTTTCAGGTGACTTCAGAAATATTTTTGCCTTTGGATTAGAAATAGAATTACAGACTGATAAAATGTGGGTGTTGAAAGGTAAAACCCTGTTCTTAATGAGCACATTCCGTAAATGCTGATTTTTGACACTTACAAATTTTCTTCCAAACCAGGCGGCAGCTTATCTGGGAGGAAACAAGCACAAAGCAACGAGAACATGAATAGCAGTAAATGGAAATCTACTTTCTCACCAATATCTGACATCAACCTGACCAAAACTACAGATAGTCCCTTGCAGTCGGTTTCATCTCTGAGCCAGAATTCGCTGTTTGCCTTCAGGCCGTCCTCCGAGGACAGCCTTGCCGTCGACGCCAAGATGACGGCGCACACACGGAAGAGCATTGCCATGCCCTCGTCCGGGGCAGACGGGCTCAGCCCCAGTACAAACTCCACTAACGGCTTCACGTACAACGGTGGACTGTCGAGTGACATTGGTTTACACAGCTTTATCGATGGTGCTTCTCTTCCGCATAAGGCTTCGGACGTGGCGACTTCCAACTGCTCCCTGAGTTTCCAGTCACAGCGAAGCAAAGATGCGGGGATATCGGAAACGAATCCTTTTTTGAACAAAAGGCAACTCGAAGGCCTCAGTGGCACGAAAGGAGAAGACTTAAATCGGTCGGGGGTCAAAGGCAAAGAGATCAGTGAAATAAGCATTCGTACTGTGGGTTCTTCAGAAAAAAACTCTTTGCAGCATAACGGAAAGGTCGGCAAAGGAAGGGACCGAGATGTGGAGTTTAAAAACGGCCACAACCTTTTCATTTCTGCTGCTGTTTCATCTGGTGGCCTTCTGAATGGTAAAAGCCTTTCGACTGCTGTTTCTTCAGCAGGCAACCCAGCATCTTCTGTTCAGACGCACCATCCTTTCCTAAACACTTTGACCACTGGATCGCAGTTCCCCCTCGGCCCCATGGCCTTGCAAGCAAACCTCAACTCGGTGACAAATTCCTCGGTATTGCAGTCCTTATTTAATTCAATGCCAGCTGCTGCCAGTCTGGTCCACGTGTCATCAGCCGCAACCAGACTGACTAATTCTCACACTATGGGGAACTTCTCTCCTGGGGTTACAGGTGGAACAGTTGGAGGTAGGCAGAACTCTTTCTCTGGTATAAGACAGGGCCTAAAGGAAGGTCTGACGCTGCCTCTCCAGGGGTGAAACCCTTTCACTTCTGCAGGATCTGTCCCCCATAACCAGTCTCTTCTGTCTCTCGGAAATGCTAGGATGAGTTCAGTTCCCCACAGTGAAACCTCATGAGCTTTGTCTGCTAGATGAGCTTGTTGTTATCACCTTAACGAAAGAATACACCCAGACTTTGTGATTTCATAATGTATGCTTGTTCAGATGTTGCGGTGTTGGAACCAACGCAGGTCCGCCTGCAGGTAAAAGATGTAACTTGTCATGAGACCAAGTTAAGGATCTCTAACTTGGCAGCTTGAGTAAAGGTTGAGATTAGGCCTTGGATGGAATTTAGCGTGATCCAGGAAGAGCAAAACATCAGTGCCTCTTCAGAGGAGGTGGTGTTGGGAATTGCGTAGCGTTCTGGCTCTTGAATGGACACGAAGAGCGTTTCTTTGCCAGGAAGGGCAATGCCATATGCACCTTGCGCTTCTGGGGTTCTGCACATGCTTGGCTTCTGTGGCCCAAACCGGAGACAAGCTGGCAGGACTAGAAGATAGGCTGAACCTGCCGTCACTAAGTGTCCAAGGCAGTTTTTCTTACCTGTCCATAATCATTCAGGCACCATGTCGGGAAATCCTAACTCTCACATCTCTCAGCACGTAGATTTTCTGGAAATACAATCTCCCCTCTGCTGCCCTGTAAGTGGGAAAGCAGGAGGGTGGGGAGGGAAGAGCAGCACTTTGAGTCTTCAGCTAAACAACTCTAGACACCACGTAATCTCATCAAAAGTCTACCCGTGTGGTATAGAACTGACAGTTCTTGGGTCTGACCATTTTTCCTCGTGGCATTTAGAGGTTGGCGGTAAGAAAGGTAAGTGAAATCTTTTGTACCTCCTGGCCTGCACCATTATCCCTCATTGCTTGCTGCCTTCTCATGCTGCATATTTTTGTGTGGGGCTGTAACTATTATAATTTTGCTTTTTATCTTTTTTTTTTGTTTGTTTTGTTTTGTTTCTCTTGTCACTGGAGACTGTACAAAGCCCATCTGTTGAAGCTGAGTTTTTCTCTCCTGTTTGCAGGTATTTTTAACCATGCGGTGCCTTCTGCCTCCTCTCCTCATCAATTTGGAGCCAGTTTCAGCAGCAGTGCTGTCTCTAGCAGCACAGTGCTAAGCTTAAACCCTCTGCAGGCTGTTGCCAGCACCTCATCCTCATCCTTCCCACCCCCTTCCTCTAATTTAGTAACATCTAGTGAGACTAGATCTGCTCAGCACCTCAACAGAGCGCCAGTGCAATCTGTTTTCCATTCCCCTCTGCCCCCTCCTAACGTTTCATTGCCCCCACCTCCTCCATTACTTGCTTCTAACTCCGAGCCTGCGCTTCTGCAGAACCTGCCATCCATCCCACCTGGTGAAGCTTTTTTACCATCCTCTTCTGCTGCTTCTGTCCAATCTGCTAACGCTTCTTTGTCTATTAAGCTAGCTTCTCTCCAGCACAAAACCTCCCGCCCCTCCTTTACAGTCCATCACCCGCCTCTGCCCCGCTTGGCGCTGGCACAGTCCGCGCCCGTGATGGCGCAGTCCAACGCAGCCGGCACGTCCGCTATGTGGGTTACACTTGGCATGCAGTCTCCTTACGCTTCTTCGCACCTTTCTGGGGTTAAGCCACGATAAAGAGCTTGCTTAGCTAACAGTTCTTATTTTGTAAGGTAAGGCTAGAGAAAAAAAAAAAAAGAGGAGTTTTGTACAAGATGCTGAATGATGCTTCTTCCTTTTCAGAGATAGGTTGGGGATGGGCTCTGTGAAACAGAAAAAACTCTAAAATGTGGGATGCAAATAATCTGATGGGAGAGGATGGAGAGTTTTAATGCTCTCTGTTCTGGGAGTCAGGATTTCTCGACAAGGGGTGCTCACAGTGGTAACTCTGTCTCATCTGACGTGAGGATTATGTTCAGGTTGGGATCACTTTATGAAAATGTTTTATTTCTGAAGATCACTAATCAGGAGGAAATGTCTATTTTTCAGTAGGGTTTTATACAGTTCCGAGGCGTGGTTGTTGCCTACTTTGATTCCCCCCTCCCCTCTTCTTGCCCTCCGACACAGACTGTTGCATCCCCACAAACCCGTGTTCGCGTAGCGTTAGGATGCGTGACGGTGCTGCTTTGTGACTGTACGTGGCGATGTGGTGGTCTTGTTTTTACCGTAGTCAACAACAGCTGCTCTAAATAATCATAAAGTTCAAAATCTCAAGGTTACAAGCTGCAGCTTTGTCTTGGAGAGCAAACGCGCTGGTCTTGCATTTCAGTTCCTGTGCCCCCTGCATCACTGGAAAACACAACCGCAGGTAGCAAAGAGGGGTTGTAATTTCTGGGTGCGCTGCAGCTTGACCTGCTAGGGCTCACGGTGACCACCAGAACCTGTATTTATGCTCACTTGGCAATCACTGGCCTGCTGGGTAGACTGTGAATGGGAACACAGGGAATCTGCAGGGTTCACCGTGGTCCGTGCTTCCTAAAGGCTGGGGCCGTAGAGGAGGGGAGCGTTCCCGAGCCTGGACGCGTTTTTCCTGAAGCAGGTATTTAAATGCCTTTAGAAGCAACTCCAGAATAAAGCGTACCACCACAGAGCTGGGTCCTGTTGTTAATGACGATCCTCTGTGGCATCCTGCTGTAACAACTCACGCTCACAAAGTGAAATCAGAACGTCAGGCCCCAGAGCTCGCTCCGTGCTTTCCTGTAGGTCTCTGATGTTGTTCTGTTCGCTGCTACCAAAGCTGCAATCTGTGGTTGAATACTCTTTGCCGCTTATAAAACATGACTCAATTACACCGTACCTGAGAGATTCTTTTGGCTGTGCATTGTCTATAGCGTCTTCACATTGCTCCACAGACACGAACAAATCCTCGGTAGGCTTTTGTGAGGCACGTAAGTATCACCTCCACCCTTCTGTGCGGCTGAGTTTTGAGTAACGTGGCATCAGCAGAGACCAGCGCTGCCACGTGGGTACAGAGCGGACTTAAAAAACCCCAAATAGGAACAAGATGGGGGAGAAGGGGCGAGGAGGGTTAGGCTTGGGGTTTTCTATACGTGAGCCACTCGAGAACAGTGTGAAAGCTTCTGCTGAAGCAGTTTCCTTACCTGCAGCTGAGGTCGTACTGGGCTGGGCTCCTTACCATCGGGTGTGACTGTCCCTGTCGCAAAAATGTTCCGAGCAAAATAGGCGAGGGACAAAAGCGTGGAGAAAGGGTAGCGGGATGCCAAAGCTGGCGTGTGGAGCGGAGGAGCAGCAATAATGCTGCCAGGAGAAGGTGGATGACGGGTGTAACGTCACTGTGGTCCTGCTCCGTGCAACTCGTGAACGTAGGTCACGTATGTGAGCTGTTTCCTTGACTTTGGTGTGAATACCTGTGCTCAGAGTCCAGGTTAAAATCTGGAATCGGGCTCAAATAAACTGCTTTGCTTCTCATAATATTTTTCCCGCAGGGTAATAAAAAAGTCAAAGCAGAGTGGCGTGTGCTAGAAGAAGGTATAGTACTGAGGGGGGAAATATTTTTTTTTTTTTTAACCTCCCCACCTGAGGTCGGTCCCAGGAGGACAGAGTTCAGTGTGGTGACGCTCTCAGAAAGTTTTAAAAGCTGCAATAGCCAGGAGGGGCTGCGTGTCGCCCCTGGAGGCATCGTTTCTGTCTAATTGTGGTTGGGTCAAGAGTTGCTCCTTCTTTGCTGGCTAACGAGGTCTCGGAGCAATGTAGAAATGATTGACACATCTAACACACAGTAGATTTTTTTTTTGTCTTTTATTTAGATGAGTCTCTTCCTCTCCTCCTGTTGTGCAGGTAACTAGGATTTCTACCTCAACCCAATGTGACCTATGCAAGGACAACGTGGACCAACTTCACTCGGCTTCCACTGAAAGGTGCTCACCTGGCCTGTGCAGGGGTTTCTACTCTCTTACTACTGGACAAAATAAAAACATAAAAAGACCTAAACAACAGAGAAAAATATATTTACTGTGAATCTGAGTTAAAAAAAAAGAAAAAAGGAGAAAAAAAAAAAGGCAAAAGAAATGCTTAAAGCTCCAGTTTGTATTGTTGATAGTTTAGATAAAGTATTTATCTTTTTTTAAAGTGAAAACAATTTTGACTTATTTTATTCCACCTAGAATCATAAATACAACTTATTATTAAATTCTCAGAATAATAAAGGACTGGCACACCAGCAGAGATGTAAAGAGCCTCCTCTCGGTGCTATTTCATCCGTCAGAACTGTGCCTCTAGTTTGAATCCTTGGTGCTGAATTTGGAGGGTTGACCAATGCCAAACCCAGTTCTCAGAAAGCTCTGCAGCTTAGTTATTCACCTTCCTCTGTTCATATTCCAAACCCCGCTCGCTTTGCAGTGTGAGCTACAGAGAAGGGCGATTTTAGCCAGTGTTTTGTTTCCTTTGAACGGAGCCAGGCGCTCTGTTAACTGGGTGGTTTTTCATTGTGTTGATGACAAACGAGAACTCCCTGCTCCCCTCCAACTCCCTGCTCCCCTCCGGAGCGGCAGCTCGAGCCCCTGGGGTGGCCCAGGCCGGCTCAGCCCGCGCAGGCACAGTTTGAACAGGAGAAATTCAAGTCCTGCCCCATTCGAACTACTTCACTGGGCCATTTGCAGTTGCTGGTGGCACTCAAGTCACTGTGAATTTTTGGTAGCTAGTCCGCTAACTCCTTTTGTCGTTGGCATATGAACAGGGTGTGTAATCACTGGGATTGGTCAGACCCTTCTTTCCAACCGCGGGAAGACTGAACATAGTGCTTCTGTACTGGTGCAGGTAGCAGATTTTCTCAGCTTGTTGTGTTTTTTTTTTTTTTTTTTTGTTCCAAGTACAATGTATTTTGTTAGTAGGGTTTTGATACTTGATTCCGAAATGGCTTAGCCGTGTACATTTATTGACGAAGTGCATTTTGCTTTTGTATTTCTTTGCTTTTAAGTAGGTCTTAAATGGTAGTTCACAAAAACACCGCAATCTAGCTTACCGTGCTGCCACGCTATTGAACTGGTGCAGTGAATTGTATCGTGACTTGGTGTTCTGTGTACAGAAAGCGCCGCTCGGAGCAGCGGCTGTATTTTATAGAGATGTGATGAAAAATTATAAATTTCATATGCTTGATTTCATTTATTTTTAGATTGTACAATGCACAGTAAACTTGTAAAAACTTATTTATTCAAGTGCACAAAGAGGAGAAGGATGATCTGTTCCGTAGAAATCACGCTGGTCTGTGGTTCAGACTGGCCCAAGCACCAATAAAGGAAACTACAGTAAAAGAAGGGGAATTGCAACAGCAAAATGATGGAAAAAAAAACACATTTAGGCTTTGGGCAACACCTGCCTGCTAGCCCCGGTGCTCCGAGGGGCAGACGGACTGTGTCGGAGGCACTCACTGTCCTGAAATTCCTTCTAGGTCGCTAGTGCTCCCTAAGGAGTCTCCCACCTCCAGCAATCGGGTATTTGCCTTGGACTCGAGCCTGGCTTTACCAGCCACCCCACAGCATCCCGCAGGCACAAAAAGCTGGGCTGGGCTGAACCCATCAGCTGTTAACTCCTGCCTGACGTAGGTGAGATCCCTCTGCCCTCGTGTGCTCTCTCCTGGGTGCAGGAGGAAGGGTTGGGAGCTCCATCCTGGCCGTGTTCGAGTGTTGGGTTCCAGGTGCCATGGCAGCTCCTGCCCTCTCCAGCCTGCAGGGATGCCCTTTGCTCTGTGCCCCGTCCCTGGCAAGCTTAGCAGAGATTTAGGACAACGTTCAGTTATCTTGGTGATTCCAAAGTGTGTCTTCCACGGGCAGCCTGTTGTGTGCAGATACTGTTGATCTGACTTTTATTCACTGGACAGGGAAGGGATGGACAGCCTGGGAAGAGAGGGACGTTTTGGAAGTTTTCTGCTTTGCGTGTGGGAGAGGACTTGACAGCGGTGCGCCCTGCTGAGTTATTAACAGCAAGATGAAAACCTGGCAAAGGGCAAAAATGCTCAGAGGGTGATAGCTGAGAAACATCCAGTAGCTTCTAGTAGAAGCCATACGCAGTTTATGTCCTGGAATCCAGGAAGACAATGTAACCCAGATGTTTTGCAGCTGGGACTTGGGCAGCTCCAGCTTCTTCCAGATCCTTGGGGAAGTTGCAGAGCTGCCTTAGCATCCTTCCCAGCAAACGGCTGAGTGCTCAGGTCTTTGAAGGCTTGAAATTGGTGGGCTGTGCCCGAGCGATTGCTGGAGGGGCAGCAGCCTTAATTCCATCTCCCCCATCGTTTGTATCCCCACTGAGAGAGACAAGGAAACACAAGTAGAAGCTGTTAATTAATCACTCTGCTTTTATCAGATCCTTTTCTGAAAAGGGACCAAGGCGCAGTGCTCCTTGGACCTCTTGTCCCCCCCTTCATCTCAAACTGCAGAAGACGTCCAGCAAGCGAGCTGGGCTGCCATCGCTTGATCTGTACGGGGAGGGTTTGCTGGTGTTTGTACCCGAGCTGCTCGCAGGACCCTGGCAAAGGTGCCCGTTCGGAGAAGGAACCGACTCGTGGAGCTCTGTCAGACCTGCTGGGCTTCCCAACACCTCCTCGCGGCCCTGATGGCCCGGCTGGCTCCGGGCACTCCTCCTCGGCCACGTCCTTGGTGTGGGAATGACTTGCTTTGTCCCGAGGTTCACGGAATTTCAGGAGTCGGTGTCTGGGGAGCAAGACAGGACTGTCAGACGCGGTTTGGTGGTGGGCTTGGCAGTGTCGGGTTTGCAGTTGGACTCAGTGATCTTAAAGGTCTTTCCCAACGTAAATGATCCGATGTTTGTCATCTGCTCTCCGGTGGGTGCTGTGGAAAAGCAAAGCCCCCTCTGTCCCTCGGTGTCACCTGCGGTGGCGGGTGCTTTGGTGATGGGTCGCAGGACTGGCTCACGAGCAGGCGTTGGCAGTCAGCCCACAAGCCCGCTGGCTGTGGCTCACACGTGCTATCGAGACGTTTTCAGCTGCCCAGCGTTCTGGAGCCTGTGGCTCTCCAGCCATCAGCCGGGAAGACCAAAGGAAACCAGACGCTGACCCAGGAGTAAATGCATAGTAGTTGGGACGGACTTGAAAGGCGTTCAGCCTGCTGGCCGACCTGCTGAGCGTCCGCTTCAGCCTCCTGGGCTCCGTCGGGACCAGCCCTTCATCTGTCTCTGCATCACCTCCATGCTGTCGTTCCCGCTGTTTCCATCTTGGCAGCCCCCATGGCAGGAGCCTGGAGCTGCTCTGGCCTGACACCGTGGGCACCTCCGTGATGAACTGTGTAACGGGAACGTGTTCCACTTGTGTGCAGCTCTGGTGTAAACCCTCCCGGTATTCCCCGCGGAGACGCGCTTCCAGGAAGGTGCCCGATGAGCTGATGCTCGCAGGGAGCGGTGGCAGAGGGAAGCCAGGAGAGCTCAGGTCTTGGGCTGGTGTCTTAACATCGCGTTAGCTGGGGGATGTTGCCAAGAGCTTTATGGTGTTGTCTTCCCCGCTCCTGGATCGTTTATGGCTCTGCTATAATCTCAGGCAAGTTCAACCTGTTTCTCCTCTGTCTGCAAACCAGGGAGAGCATTTACCCCTCTGCCAGGCTGCTGGAGGATGGGAAGATCTGATCCTTATGGCTTCAAGAAAAAGACCCTCGTGACCCTACCGTGGGAGCGCCGTGCCAGAGCTCTGAAACCTGTTTTCAATAATTGGAGATAATTTGGAGTAATCAAAGCCAACCAGCCAGTTCCAAAAAGGAATTCCTTCTGCGTTACCACATCCTGCCGGGTCCGGTGGGTTCGTGGCTGTCACACATGTTCCTTCTCCTCCACGCCGCTGCTGCCAGCGAGGAACTTGTCAGGAAGCTCAAATACATCTTGTAGCACGTACGTTGCCAAAAAAAATTGAACTTCCTGAGCATTGTGCTGAGCAAAACCTGTGCCCCGCTGCTAACTGTCAGCCCTGGGGCCGAGCCCTGCGCACTCTTCCTTTTTTGGTGCTTCGCTACC